GTGTGTGATATAAAGGGAAACGTGTTACTTTATGGTGGTGTTGGTTGTGTTGTCTTGTGGATGCGTTGGAAGGGGTTGTGGAGGTAAGAGGTTGGCGTTGGTGTTGCAGCTGGGCGCGAGCTGGACGCCGACTCCCGCTACCGCTCGGCCGAGGAGCAGGCGCGCGAGCTGACGCGCTCCATCCGGCGCGAGGTGGGGAAGCTGTCGGACACGTGGAACGCGCTCATCGACCGCTCCGACGCCTGGCAGCGCCGCCTCGACGACAGCCTCGCCGTGAGTACCACAGCGCGTTTCCCCCTACGCGGTGCTGGCCGAAATGTATTCCTACGGCCACTCCCTGTCGTGTCATTCTGTACGAGAATTGCGTTTCTGGTATGACAGATGGCAGTTTACGGAAGCTGTTGGATCCTGTCTGGAACCAAACGCTGAATATGAATCCTCTTCCTAAAAAAAAATATTACTTCGAGATGCGTCTTTGTAGAAGTAAACCCTTCAATTTCTCAAGGCCTGTAGACCCCGCTAAATGCTCCGTGCTCGCGAACAACTATAAGTTAAAACGTTTTATTTTTCTTCTGTTCAGTTCATAGTTGTTGTTTTTTTTTTATGAACCTGAAACGAAACATGTGTAGTATACTCCTTAGCCTTGCGGGTCTTTTCGATTTCAGACTTTTAAATATTTTGTGCGCCCTACTAAAGCAAGAAATGACATACATTTTTATGAATTCGACTCATGAAAATTTAACAGGAAAATCAATAAATAAATTGGAATAGTGCTTAAATAAGAATAATAACTCGATAAAAACCTTATTTTGTTGAATTAATATTAAAATTGCAATTTTGCAATGATCCCGGAAAATTTAATGTTATCATTAGTCATCCCTCCTTCATTTTGTCCAGAATTGATAAGAAAATAATTCTTCCCATAACATGAAAAGTATTTTCAAAGGCAAATAAGCTCAAAATATATTAGCTATTATCCCACATCGTGCTTTCTTGAAAGCATTGACTTACGGTCACGAGAACATAGAGAACGATAATTTGGATAACCATGTCCCGCACTGAGCTCAAGAAAACGTGCCCAGTTAGTGAAGTAATACACTATATCCAGAAGCAAAACGAGGTCCGACGGTCCAAAGGATCAGCGGGCACTACAATCCGTTAATATTTTGCCTACGCGAGGATGCCTCATATCCGGAGTCTGAGGTGCCCCCTGTTTCGGAGGAACCCCGGGATAGATGCCGCCGGGCGGCATCCATAAGCGCGCGCGTTTCCGACGCGCCTTAGGAACCGAAGTGGGCGTGACACATCTGGGGGGCGGCGAAGGGAAGTGGCCCGGGAAGTACGCTCCCCGTTGAACCCCCCTCGCTGCGCCCCCTCCCACCGCCTTTTCGCCCCCTCCTCATCCTTTTCCTCTTTCTTCCAGGCTCGCTTGATCCTCGCCGCGCATTCACATACTTGTGTGCGGCGCCGGTTGCCGCCCTCCCGATCCGCAGACCGAGGGAACTTTAGCGGGCGCACGGCCCGCGTAAAGAATAAAGCGCCTATAGACAGAGGCTTTACCGCGGGATTTGCCTTCCGCCCCTCGCGCACCCCCCGCCCCCTTTCGCTCCTCGCCCTCGCACTTCCCGGGAGCGAGCGCGATCCACCAACGAGGCGCCGTTGCTGTCGCCAATCTGCCCCAGCGAAGACACATCACTATTATCCCTCCACCCGGAAACAAGAGGGAAAGGCACTTATGATGTTGGATTGATGATAGATCTGTGCAATTAAAGGAATTAAGTTAAGAAGAAGAAGAGAGTCAAGTCAGTGCGCGTATACCTAGATAAGCTGGAATAACCCAGGAGTGATAAGTGAGCGCAGTGTCAGGCAAGGGGAAGAAGATCCCGGCGATAAGCCGGCGGCGGCCGAAGAGGTCACCGGCGCAAAGAAAGACGAAAACCGTATTGACATGCGTGCTCCGAGTGGAACGTATTCTGAGCCAAGCCCGTAAATGTGGCCGCACAGTGATTGAACAAGTACGAAGCCGGGGAAAACGCTGGCAGGTGCGGCCCGGGCGCGCCGCGCGCGGCGAATAAGAAGAGCAATAGAGGTTACCCGCCAGAAGTAAGAAACTTGGTGGCAGCGTGGTCGCCGCGGTGGATAAGCCGAATAAAGAGCGGCCGCCCGGAGCACGCGCGCGCGGG